CACCCACTCACCGGCGAAGTGTGAACATGGGCCTGTTCAAGAAGGTTCATTCTTACACTGAGTGATGCAGGTGGGCCGCTGGGATGTGCTCGACCCTGTCTCATGAAGTGGCCGCCAATGCCAGCGGTGGGACCCGAATTCCATGCACTCAAGGTTCCAGGCCAGCAAGCACCAGCTCGCGCAGCGCCTGTGGCTCCCCTTGCGGAAGGCTTACCTTTTGACAATGCCCACAACTACTTGTCAGGCGCCGTCTTTCCGTCACCGCACGTTTTATTGTCCCTTGCAGCTATGCTGACGGAGTTGCAGGGTGTGTTCAACCGAAGCGTGCGACAGCTCATGACTACTTGTGCCAGCCCTCGCGCACAAGGTACGTTTGAACTTGCCGAGATGTATTTCTGACGAATAGCCCAGCTTACCGTACTCAGCGTCAAGCCGGTGCTCAATAACTTGATCTATCAGCGCGCTGACTGCGCGCCAGCAGGAGTCGTGGACATGGGGACGCATATCCTAAGAGGTCTGCTCCAAGATCAGGCCACGCAGAAGGAAGCCCAGGTGCGCGCAGGCGCGGGGGTGCGTGCAGACGGTCATGCAAGACCGACAGCAGGTAGTGCTTGAGGTGGGCAGCAGCTGACATGATGCGCTCTCCCGACAGCGATGCGTCCCTCATACCCGCTAGTGCGTAGGCTGCAGATCTTGCCGCAGCGCCTGCAGCTACACCCCCGACCGCCCTGCCACCCGCGCAGCTCATCAGCGCGGGCGACTGCCAGCGCTTGGCGGGCGTGTCCATCGGCGGGTGGGTCATCGTGTCGCTGTTGTGCGGCGCAGCGCTCGGCGTGGCGGCCACCCTCTTGTTCCAGTGCCTCCGGCGGCGGAGGGACGCGCGCTACATGAGGGAGGCCGATGCAGCGGTGAGCGGCGCAACATGGCAGCAGACCATGTGCGGCTGGGCTGCATGCCGACTGTCCCAGGCCCGCGCGGCCCCCGCAAAACTTCTCACAGACAAGGCCGGAGTGCATGCGGTCCATGCTTGCTAGTGCGGGATTAACTCACTGTCGTCACGCCGCACGCAATACGCGGCCCATTCTGCTTCTTCGTGGGCATGCGCTGCCTTGCAGGACGCCGCCGAGCGCTCGCTGCCCGGCCCCGGCAAGGCGCACCGCACCAGCAGCCCGCAGCTGCGGCAGAAGCTGCCCGTGTCGCGGTCCTCCAGGTCTGCCGCGCTGGGCCTGGGCCCGCTGACCGCCAGCGTGCACGCGGCGCCTAGCAAGAGCGGGCTGCCCGCGGCCACTGCGCGCGCGGCCCGAGAGAGCGCGGCGGGCGGCGTCGGCAGCAGGCAGCAGGATGGGGTTGGCGCCGGCGACACGCGGGTGGCGGATCAGCAGGCGTCCCAGCAAATGGTGGGTACATGACGCCTGCAGCCTCGCGGGAGCATGGGGTCGCTCACGTGGTGCGAGGTTGCGAGGCTGGGCGTGCTTGCAAATGCATTGCGCTCTTACGCGCACTCAGTGCTGCACCTGCGTGCCCCGTTCATGCGCACTCGCAGGAGCTGCGCGGCAGCAGCCACGCCACGGGCGAGCGCCACTCAGATGCCATCCGGCAGTTTGTGTCCACCTCCTACGTGGGCCAGGTGGCGATGGGGCCTGGGGTGCGGGCAACCACGAGAAATCTGGGCGCCTGTAGGGAGGGCGTAGCCCAGGTAGCTCGGCACCAAGGAGGCCCCCTGCCGGCCATGTAGCAGAGCCGCGGAGCTCAGTCGAACGTGGTCCCCCGCCAAGAATCCCTCCCCCCTCTTCTCGCGCCGCACGCTTTTGCACTGCGGCAGGCCGGCTCCCTGGTCTCATCCCACAGCGGAATGGCTGGCCCGCTGCCCGCCATCGCCCCGTCCCCAGAGCTTCCACGCGCACCAGCCCAGCAACCCGTGGCGCCCTCGGAGCAGCCACAGCAGCCGCAGCAGCCGCAGCACGCCGCCGTCGCGGCTGGGCTGGCGGGGTCGGTGGCTGACACCCCGGCGCAGGTGGCGCTGGTGCAGCACGACGTGGATGACTCATACGAATTGGAGGAGCTGGACGCCGACTGGAAGGTGACTTGGTGGGGTGGGGTGGCAATTGGAGAGCCGACTATCATTGTGCAGAACTCGCGCATTGAGGGTGGGAACTCCCAGTGAAGCCAAGGGAGGAGAGCATTCCTGCGGCCGTGCCAGCTCGAACGCTCTGCAGCAACGCCAGCTCTCCTGTCGACCGGGGGTGCGCGCACCCCGCGCTGGGGACTGCCTCGCTCCCCTGGTCGATGCACTCCCAAAGCGAATCGGGGGTCGGCGCTTCCCTGGTCCCAGGCGCTGCTGAGCGACGTGGATAGCCGGCTGGGCACAGCGGGCGCACCCCCAATGGACGCGCGGGAGCGGGCTGTGGCGATCAAGAAGCTGCTCGTGGCCACCGCCACGCGGGGGGTCGACTTTGCTATGGTGCGTGGCAGAGCTGTTGTGTGAGAGGCGGAGCGAGATATCGATTTGCAGGATTGTGTGAGAATGTGGGCGTAAGCATGTGTACATGTGTGTCGTGGTACGCGGAATGTGCATGCCACGAGCTATTTTTGGTGGGTCCGAAGTTGTGATGGAGTGTCCATCGCTGGTTTCCTGCCTTGCCCGTGAAGGGAGGCATTCACGCAGATGCTGAGCGCGTCCCATCTGACAGCCCACGCCTCCGGCTTGCCCCCTCATCATTGCCCAGGGCGCCACTATCGAGGAGGTGCTGCGATTCAGGAACTTCCATGCCGGCAAGCGCGATTGACCCACTTGTTGGGTGATGCCTCAACGAGGCGTCCCTCGGGACATCAAAGTCCTTTGGCATGCAAAGGTCATGACTTGAGGGTTCACAGGCTAGATGCATAGGATCCGCTCTTGTACCGTCCTGCACAGCTCCATCCAAGCGCCTAGCAGTGGGGCGTGGGGATGGGGATGCCTGCCATGCTGCTGATTTGGCGGCTGCCGGTTCTGTTGCTTGTGCGATCAACCCATTGGTGTCTCGCGGGCGACCATACAAGTAAAAACACAGGCCGTGCACTTTTTCTTTCATGACTGCCATGACAGGAATGCGGCTCACGATCACAGTGACCATGTAGATGGACTGGGATGATGAGTTCTGGCCTTGTTCTGGTTGTGAGTGGCGTGCCCCTGGGGCTTGATGCTGCAGCATGCCAGTATTGCAGTGGACAAGGACTACCACGCGCTTTGATGTATATGTGCCGTATAGAGCGCCCTAGGAAAGTGTGGAGCTGGGGGCAACCATTGATGTATTCAAGAGCCCCCCCCCCCGCGTGTGTTGCCCCTGCCTGCCAGCTGCGCTGATTGTGCTCGGATTTCCTTGCCGGCACGGTGGGCCGTGATGTGCCTGGCAGAGTGGCTGTGATTAGTGCCGGTTCGTAATCGCTGCATTGTGACCCCGCGTGTCGAGCTGGAAGTCCTCCCGCAAACACTTCTCCTGAGACGAGGTGGCCGTCCTCGGGCTGCCGTGATAACAAACATCGGCTGGGTATTGATTATGCATTTGGTCTCTAAAACTGTGCGTTCCGTGCCCGCTCCAGATCAGGTCTAAATCAGGTGGCCGGTGCTTGGTTGCTCGCACTTCAAGTTTTGAAGCGCGTGTCGCCGTCTGGAAGCGCGCCTTAGGTCAGGCACTGGCCCCTTGGCGTCCGCCCCAGCCGTTCGCGCCCGTCGGCGCGGCCCTGCACCACAGCGCGTGACCTTGGAGCCGCACGCGCGCCAGCAGCGCGAGTGAAGGCCCCCGCGAATGGAGGACTCGTGCATGTCGCTCCACTCAATGGAGCCGCGCGCCAAGGCGGTCTGGTCCACGCCCGCGCCGCTGCCCGGCGTCGGCAGCGACGCGTCGGCGGCGGGCCGCGGCGGCGACCCGCTGGCCGACGCGCTTGCGCAGCACATGCTGCTGCTGGACATGGATGGCGACCTAAGCTATGAGGACGAAGAGGCCGCCGCCGCCCAGCACCAGCGCCTGCAGCAGCAGGCCGCGCAGACGCGGGGCCCCCACGCCGCCGCCAACCCCGCCGCCGCCGCCGCCGCGCCCGCCCCTGCCGCCGCGGAGCCGCTGCCCGAGCTGCCGCCGCTGCCGGCGCAGCCGCCGTCGCCGGTGCCCGAGGGCAGCGAGGGCGGCGGGTGCGAGTCGCCCTGCGCGGCGGGGGAGTATCAGTCGGAGCCCCTACCCCTGCTGGATGCCGACCTGCTCAGGTCGAAGCACGCGCCCCTCGCGCCCACAGGCTTCACTCCTGCCGAGGTGCGCGCCACGCCGCGGCAGGCGCGCGGGCAGCGCACCGCCGCAGATCAATCAGACCCGACACGGCCCGCACCGCGCCGCCCCGGCTCGGCCACGCGATCGTGCCCATCCCTGCCCGACCCTGCACCTGGCACGCAACCTCCCGCTGCACGTCAGCGACCTTGCACCGTCCATCCCTTGCGCATCGGCGCGCGCGCGTGCGCACAGGCGTGCACACACCAACACGCAAATGCACACACACACACGCACACGCACACACACCCTTCACGCACACACATACACACACACAAACACACACCCACACACACGCACACCAACACCCCACCCCACTCCCACCCGCAGGCCTATGTTGACCGCCAGGAGCGCACCGTGTTTTTCGCCAAGTGCGCCCCCTCGGCTTCCGTCGAGGCCGTCGCGCGCGTGTTTGGCGCCTATGGCGAAGTCGAGGAGATAAACCTCTTCAGACAGTGGTGAGCCCGGGGGGGGCAGGAACCGCAGAAGAGACGGCCGCGCGCCCCGACAGCGCTGCGCGCGCCCGGCAGCCCGGGGCGGCGCGCTCGTGTCTGCTTGCTGGTTCTGGTTTTGCGGGGATGTGGTTCGGGGCGGCCGGCGCCCGCCTCCTGGGGCCGCAGCCGGGCCGGCCGGACGCCTGACGCCGCACACTCCGCGGGTGGGGCGCACGCTTGTCGTTCCCCTGCGCAGGGCACCCCCGACGCCCACGCCCACACCCCCGGCCCCCCAAACTTGCCCACTTCAGGCCGAGCGCCAAGGCCAGCCGCGGCTGCGGCCTGGTGGTGATGAGCACCATGGAGGGCGCCAGCGCGGCGATCGAGGCGCTGCATCGCAAGTTCACGTGGGAGGGCGTGTCCGCCCCCATGGTCTGCGAGCGCTGCTGCGCCGCCCGCCTGGGCGTCAAGGCCGCCACGCAGCACGCGACGCGCGCGCGCCGCACCGCCGCCGCGGCCGCCGCGCGGC